GGATCAGTGGAAAGAGTTTTGTTAATTGAGGATTTGATATTAATATATAAGCTAGTATATATAATATAGTAATTAAAAAAATTAATATATAGTTCTAGACTAGCTATACCAATAACACCATTGATAACTATATATAAACTATTTAATCCCTAATTAGGTACAGTATGTCCTTTCATTTAAAAGGTTTCAAGTAGATCTACCTAGGACAAGTCACAATAGGTTAGCATTAATATATATATATATATATATATATATATAATAATTAATATAATACTTAAGATTTAATTATCAATAAAGAGCCTACATCTAACACTAGTTATGATTTAAAAAAAATAGTTTACTTATTATATTATTAATATCATCATTATATTATAAAAAAAATCAATATAATTTAAATTCAAGAATTTTATCAAATTAAAATAATCTTAGTTTTTGATTAATAAGGTTTTTTTATTACTTGAAAAATTCAATAAAAAATAAAAATTCATTATTTATCTTATTTATTACTTTTTTCCAATATTATAATTGTTTTGTAAGAAAATTTTCAATTGAAAAAATAGATCTTCAAAGATTTTTCTTTTTTTAACTATCAATAATATTATCAGAACATGTGAATGTAATCAATAGAACTTGTTTACATTTCAAAAAACAATATATTTTGTATTAATCATCATCTTTAATAAATATTATATTATCCAAAAATTCAAAGTTAAATTAAAATGGATAAAAATTTTTAAAAAACTATAAAAATAAAAGCTTTAAGAAAGTTAAACCAGTTAATAAAAAAAAAACAAGATTCTCTGTTGCAATAAACCTATATAAAATTTGTTTTAAAGATAAAAAAATCTTTAGATGCTTTACAATTAATTCTTTTTTTATTAAAAACTTTTTATGCTATTAACAGTAAAAATATTTTTTGATTTTTTTTTTAGTTACCAAAAGTCAAGTTTTAATTATTTTATAAATATCCATTTTAATATCAAGATATTATAAAGAAATATTTATGATTTAAGCAAATAATAAAATCAATCAATTATTTATTAAAATATAATCTATCTAAAACACTTTTAAGAATTATGAGTTAAAGATTTATTATATTAATAAAATAAGCTATTTAATAAAATATTTAAGGTAATCATTTCTTAATTTTTTTTATTTTTATACAAAAGAAAAAAATTTTTGCATTGAATTTAAGTAAAATAAAGTTAATGCAGTGCACGACACTTTGAAACGATTAATTTAAAAATGTCCAAATATTTAGGACATTTAAATCCACTTGCGGCTTGCTTAAGATCAATAAAATTATTGAATCTCCGAACTATCACACATCATGTTTGTTATATTAATTTATATTTATTTATATTCAATGTATTCATTATATTTAACGAATAAGTTTCTACTGTAATTAATACTACAACATTATATCGAATAATAAAATACAAACCAAATGGTATTAATATTAATATTAGAATATACGTATAATCGAATAACTCGATGTTAAACATTGCACCGAGATTCCAGGTATAAATTATTGCTTAATGGCGACACCTTGGAAAGTTGGGCGATGATGACTGAACGACAAACAATATACTGCACTATATGCACGATGACGAATGACGGGCCAATTAGCTTGAAATGGTGTATGACACGCATAAACAAGTAAGCAAATATGCGCGGAGGATGAAATCTTGGCGACCTTCCTCTAGATGTATATCGAGGGAAATTCGTTGACTTGTGTAAATTGATATTTGAGTGAACGGGAGATTTTCTTTTCTTTTGATCGGTGCGACACACTTCAGATCATGTTTCGTGAACTCTAGGGAGCCAGCTAGAATTCGTTAATCTGAAATATCTCACACTCACTGATGCGAAATTCTTTGCCATCATAAATTCCTTGTTCATAATATTGAGGGTAGCAAGTGCATTTCATCTTTTTCAAATCGATCACCATGTCTCTCGCTCCGAACCTCGGTCCAACCCACAGGTAGGGTATATACTCGTCGTTTGCGCTTCTCACTTTTCGAGCTCTGCTAACTATCGAGCTTTCAGTTTTCGGTTCGCCAGTTTGAAAACTGAACAAGAAACTTTGGTCGACCGAGGGAGTGTAAAGTGTTAGGAAGTCTCGGTTCAATCCGTTCGGCGCGAGCCCCCCTATTATTGCCTTGGAATCGAGAACTTTCACAATTACCAAGGTGTTTGCGAGGTTATTGCACGTTTTTTCATAATTTTCGATTTCAAATTTGTCGGCATCTTCAATCGTTGTACGAAATAAGAGGTCGAATTGGTAGGTGGGGGAAAACGATGATGCCTTTGATTTCTTTCCCTTCTTAATGTGAAAGAATCGTTTCAAACTTTTACTCCGCTTCAGGGGATCGAGTTTTTCCTGTCCGAAGCCCATCCACTTCAGGATCATGTCCGCGTGAAAATGATTTATTATAGAAGAGTAGTCTAGAATGATGTGTCGCAGTTTCTCACTGTGCCCGTACAGGATGTCCTTATCAAGATAGCACTGTAGGACGGGATGATTTAGGTCCTGAGGAATGACCTTACCGAATGGTATGACTTTACCGTAAAAGTCGTTCCGGGAGATTCGAGAGAATTGGATGCGGGTGATGACTTCCCCCACGGCATCCCTCAGCACCGTCCATTCCTTGAGTGTCCAATGGGATATGTCTTGTCGTAAAATCGGACTTTGTTGGACACCCCATCTCACCAATATGTCCCAAGCGGTACCCGGGCTGATGTACAAACATTCATCATCCAACAACATAGAAAAGCAACGTTCATCCAGGTCAGCCAAGTCTTTGGAGTCTAACAAATGCCGTGGATCAGAATTGATTCTGTGAATTAGGCGGTGACGAATTCTTTCGTCGCCATCGCTCGTGAACACCCCGTTAATGATCTTTACAAAATTATCATGTAACCATCCAGATTTGTCATCCAGTATGTACTTTTGCAATTCCTCCGTCACATCATCGAGGCCAAAATGTTCCGCGGCTTTTAAAAGGTCGACACAAAGAGTCCCATCTATTTCCAATTCACTCGCGTTTACATCACTCTTGTAGATGAATCTGTTGGGTGGGGGGAGGGAGGAAGGAAGGAAGGGAGGGAGGGAGGAAGGAAGGAAGGGAGGAAGGAAGGGAGGGAGGGAGGGAGAGTGAGTGAAAGAAGAAAGATGGGGTGGGGTGAGATGAGATGAGTGTATGTGTATGTGATTGAAGGTGCCTTTGTCAATTTCAAGATTGAGACTGGAATTCACCTGAGCAATGTCCGAAATGTTCTTGGAGAAATTTGCGGTTCTTCCAAAACCTTGTATTCGCCTTCCGATTCGTGAACATACAGTAGAGCATTCTGAAGGTATCGTGATCTTGATCTCAACACATCCGAATTACAATAGAAATCCTCTGCGTCTGGGCCCTCGCCAACTCTCACTATCAAATCAAATTCTTTTCTGCAATAATATTCCGGAAATGAATTGGTAATGTCGACTAGCCGTTCATAATCACCGCTTTCAAGAAAATTCAGCAGGTCAATCGAAAGACGACTCAAGGATTCCAAATTTGAATCCATAATCCGTTAGTTGGCTATGTATTTATGTGTACTAATTATAGAAACAAACGAACTTGTATTAATTAAGGAAAATCGAAATTAAAAAAAAAAAAAAAAAAAAAAAAAAAAAAAGAAGGGGAAGAAAAATTAAATCACAGAACAAGGAGGATGAAGAGGATTCACCCTATCAGCAGAATTGTCAGAATGATTGCGTTGTTCATAATGTATTTTTCATTGTTTTACAAAATGTACGCTTTCAATATAACTCACGCCATCACCCAGACGATCTTTCTAATTTACGTAATGGTAACGATTACATCCATTACATGATTGTCATGGGGACGGTTATGCAAACTCTTTTTTTTCTCCAGCGTAACGATGACGGTTGGTGTGTGTACGTATCGGGAGCGATACTCTCTAGCAAACAAACGGTGGTACTGACTGATCGAGCTATGAAATTCCGAATTTATCGGAAATAAAAGTGACACCGAGTTTTATCAGAAAGAAGTGACAATGTAATTTTCAAAATTCGTCCGGAAATAATGTAAAAATTTCGAAATTTTATCAGAGATAACTCGGATGGTTACACGCGGTGTGACTTTGGAAAAAGAAAAAATTTTTTTCTCATCATCTCAAGAAAAAGAACTTGACTATTTCTCAACCGTAAAACGAAAATAAATAAAACGAAAGATCTCAATTTAGGAATTCGCCATTGTATCATCATCGATAGAGAAAAATCTTTTTCGAAAATGACATGGAGATTGGCCACAATTGGTTATCGACGGAGAAGAGCTAAAGCATGATGTCAACCTGTAAATTGTCGCCCAGGATTTTAATCCTAATCGCGCAAAATGATTTTGCTGCTTTCTTTAATCAGCCAATTATTTTTCGTCAGTCTTACCTCTCTCCATCTGTCATTTCGTATCTAATCTGCTCGTCATCATGCTAAGACGAGTTAAGCAGATCGATTTTTCTTTGGAAAAAAGAAACAGACATCCTTCACGGAGCACTCCCGAAAAAACTAGGAGATTAGCATCCCGCATTAAGAATCAGAATTTTTGGGGAGTAGCTTTTCGTTACCTCACTACGTACAAATCAACGAACGCTTGGCATTTACCGTAAATAGGTCTTTGTCATGTAAATATTAGTGTTGTTTCTGACGATTTTGATGTATGTTTTAAGACGCTAAGTTGTCGTTGTTGATGTCGAATCGCATACAGTGTGGGACGTGTTACATCATGAGTCATATGTGTACAAAATACGTAAGACAATCAACTTTAATTTAGAGTACATGATATAACACACTCCTAGAATAGAAATAACGGTGTCCGGGAATGGAGTCATCGAGTGAACACGACAAAAACTTTCTGATATTAGGAAGGACGAAGATCCCTCTTCGAAATACTGTTTATTGCTTCTCTTTACGGCGTACGTGTAAAACCTTCGAAGCGAGTTTCTAAACTTTGGAACTTCCTTCTGTGCCTGCCAAAGAATGACAAGGAAATTGTGAGACGGAAAGGTGTGAACAAAATAATTAGTCGCATCTCAACAATTTCTTTATTGAGTCATGAGGGTAAACCAGACGTGCAACATCAGAGACAAATCACACCGAAATACATTAATTTTCCGCTACGTGCGTGACACACTTTGTGATGATGTGTGATAATTGGTGTGATTTTGTTGTTACGGGACCCCGGCGTTTCCTTTTTCTCATCCCCGAGGTCATGTGAAAAAACGTAATCGACGAGAGATATCCCCAAACTCCCTTACTGAACTCCGACCGTGACTACTTTTTGTTGGTTGTTCACGAGGAAGTCAATCTTGGCAATCCCGTTCCGTATACACCCAAGGATCCCATTTTTTCCCGTCCCGTCTTCATTCTTCATTACACAGATATCTCATCTCGGTCGTCATCCCGGTGCACATCGCCTCATTTATTAATGAAAATCTGGTATGCTATATTTAATCTTAGCCGAAGCAAAATGGGTTACAAGATAAAGTGCAGTATATAATGTAAACGCACACTCGTACACGTAAAACAAGATGCCTCGAGAATCGGTGTCACTACGCGTGTTGACCCTTTATTTAGAAAACTATTTTGAGACGCAAAATCGGAGAACGTTTAAGTAAAACTTCTTAGTTGTAAATGACCCCCACAAAAATCAAAAATACCTTAAAATTTGTACTACAGAGAAACCCTCATCAGCTTATATGCAATAAATAAATTAAACATTACACAATGTAATACTTCAACTATGTGACATTATTCCAAAGCCCCTTATTGTAGATGCTATGTGACGGTGAGATTAAATTACATAAATTAATGAGTTATAAGAACAACGTTATTTGTGCTGCACACGAATTACACATTTCACCTTAAATTAAACTTTCACCATCAAAAAGAGTATCGACATTCCTCGGGATCCTGTTTTTTTTTTTTTGTGAACCTTTGAAACTTTACCTTCAACGGCTGTCCTGTCAAGAAAAAAGGCTCCCTTAAAAAAAAAAAAACCAAAAAAAAAAAAAAAAAAATTAATATTTTTTTAAAAATCAAAGAAAAAATTAAAAAATTAAAGACGCCAAAGTTCACATAATCTTTCTTTCTTCCTTCCTTTACTTTCTCCCTTCATTCATTCCTTCCTTCATCCATTCTGTTATTTATTCACTTATTTAATTCGTTCGTTCATTCATTCATTCTTCATCATGACCGCCACAACCTCTGTTCACATGCATGACATCTCAAAGAATTCACTGGGTGACATAAGGCTCAAGAGGCGGACAAGTCTTCAACCCTTGTTCGATCGCAAGACGCAGGAGGCCTTGAGAAAGTTGGTTGACGAATTGGTGGACCTCTTCGTCGAGGCTCAAAATCTTGGCAAAGATGACAACAAGATCACGCAACTCATTCTGGATCACATTGTAAAGAAGAATCATGGTGCTCACGAGGTGTTAAAATGGCTGCACAGCAATCAACACAAACTACAATATAAAACTCTCCTTGGTTACTTCTATTTGCATGACATCGGTACCGAAATAGACTTACGAAAGGCCTACAACCTATACCTCGCCGCCGCCAAAAAGGATTATCCCATCGCCCAATACTTGCTCGGCGAGTGTTATTCGTCAGGCGTGGGCACAAAAACTGACGAGAAATTGGCGTTCCAATGGTACCAAAAGGCTGCCGAAGTTGGGAACGCAAATGGTCTAAATTGGGTCGGTTACTGTTATGAATTTGGCAAGGGTACGGAAAGAGACATCAACAAAGCATTCAATTGCTATAAGAAATCGACACGACAAGGAAACATGCTCGGAATGCATTTCCTTGCGGATTGCTATGAGAAGGGCAAGGGAACGCCCAAGAACCGAGATCAAGCGATCTATTGGTACCGAAAGGCCGCCGATCACGGAAACGAAGGTTCCCTGACTGTGCTGAACAAACTTTTGAGGGCCACCAATTCCCCGCCATTGCAGCAGGTAATATTTACATGCGCGACATTGACATTATACTATATCCAAGTTACTTACTGTATCTCCTCCTTTTACACGCATACATCATGTCCCACAGGAAAGGATTTAATTTCTTCGTCTTCTTTGTACATTTTTCGGGCTGGTTTTTTTCTTCACGATGAACCTCACCTTTTTTGACGTTATGTAAATGACTCTCTCTTGTGCACGACCGGTGCACGAAATAACACTTCCGTGAGCAACATCGCACCCAAATACGGGAAATTTTTTGTTTTATATAACTTCTTTACCCTTCCGAGAATTGTAATTCTATTTTTGATTGGTTGATTGGTTATCCCTCTAATATTTCTGGTTATTTTGAGCCAAACATAAGATAGGAGCTACAATTCTATGTAATTATTCTGAAAGAAAATCTTCTTTTCTGTATCGATAATTTTTTTCGTTCAACGTATATACACACACATATACAGTATATATATATAGTACATTATTCGTATTTATAATATCAACTGCACATATACATTTCGCGCGTGTCTATTATTTGCCATGTATATGCCTCGCCAAATTGTTTATAGTCTTTATCTTCATTTGCTACCTAGAAAAGTGAATACAACAATACCTTTTTTATCTTCTATTTACAGTATCTATCCGATGTAGTTTTTTATTTATTTTTATTTATCCGTTGTAGTTTTTATTTTATTTGATTCTTTCTTAATATTAAACTTTGCCCTCTTTAAATTAATAGGCTAATAATGGTTAACCTTATGAAACACACACACTCTCTTAACCCGCATTTACTTGTTTCTCTTCTGCCGACTTGTAAGAGGTACAAATTGTACTTCAAAATCGAAAAAAAATAAAAAATAATAATAATAAAAAATAAAAAACAATAATAATAAAAATCACATTCTGTAAAACGAAACGTTGCATGCATGCATTATTCATAATATACTTTGCGCAAGATGATGATAGTTTGCAATGGATAAAGACCAAGGCTCATTCAATGAGAGAAATGGTTGAGTGTCATTACTATTAAACAGAATATGCTTTATTACAGTAGATGCTTAAATTGCATTGTCATCTATCACTAGTTTTTACATGTTTTTTTTTTTCGTGCTACAGATAATTTAAATATCAAAATGAGTTTCGTTGATTTTTTTTTTTGAAAAAAAAAAAAAATTGCGATTCGAGTGAATGTCAACCAAGAGCATGGCGATTCTTCCTTTTTGAATATTGAAAACCAGCAATTATTCATGTTAACTTTTCTCGGATTCCACCTAGATGAGCCAATTTCCCAACAAAGACATTCCACCGATCACGAAAGACGCGAAGATGCCAAACTTTCCGAGTTCCAAAGAAGAGGCCGAAGAAGAATAGGAGTATTGTCGTTTGTCCAGGAAGGTGCGCTGGAGTATGCTCTTTAGAGTCCCGACGCTGAATTCTGAACCTTCAAGATTGCCTTCGTCGGCACTTGAGATGGCGACCGAAAGAATCAAGGTGAAAAAGAGGAAGGTGATGATGAATTTGGAGGAATACATTGTGTGTTCAGTATTTGACTGGGTTTAGAAGGTCAATGGAATTATGCGATTTACTGTGTCTGCCTTTGGAAAACTTATTCTTTTGTCAGAGCAAGGAATCAAGTTTATTTATAAGATATTCTATGGCCAACTTTGGAATGCGTATGCAGTTCAGGGCGTATCATTGCTTACACTGAAACGCGGGTGTATCATATCTTGTGTCAGCCCGGGTTTTATTTCACGCCAATCGCCATTTATTAAATGAGAAACGTTACGTTTCATCCTTACGCAAGAAATTTATTACCATCGGTTCAGACTGTTTAAAATCAAAAACTTGTTGTGATGTTTGGTTAGTGAGTCGTATTTTAAATGAAGCGTAATGCAGCATTCCACGGGACTCCCTTGATTCTTCTTAATTAACGCATATAATCGTTATACTGTAAAATCGTTTAATTCCTTTTTTGATACTGTAATTCTCAAACATAACCCGATACAGTTTAGAGGCCACGATAATTAATGAAACACGGCTTCAACCAACCAAAAAAGAGGGTTTTCTTTTACTCACCACCACCATCATCATCACCTGCAATTTTATTGGGCACAATAAATCTTTGCGAACCTACAAGTATTTAAATTAGATTTACGAAAATCTTTAGCCTAAAGTATTTTCTTAAAAATAGGTTTTTTTTTTTTTTTTTTTTTAATATAATTTCGAAAATCTGCTTATTTAAATAAAAACGAAAATAAACGTTTTTTAATATTTATCTATATAGGATCCATATCATTGATAAAAGTGTTATTTTTTATAAAAAAAAAAATCTTGTGAATTCGATTAATGCAATAAATATCAAGTATTTAATAACGATATTATTATTATTATTATTAATTGACGTTGTCAAAACAAGCACAAGGAGAACATTTACAATACCATATCTCAATTATAGAAAATCAACCAGAGGAGCTCAATTTCTACGCTAAACTGCTATTAGAAAAATGCTTACTAAAATTATCTTAAAGAATTTCAATAATAGACGTAGAGTTTGAAACAATGATGAGATTCAAATAGTAATAAAAAATTTGAGAAAGAAAATCATTAAAGAAAATATTAAAAAAAGTTCATATTAAATCAATCTAATAGAAATACTATATAAAAATAAAACAATTCAAGAAAGATTGATTTTTTTTTTCGGATAGATTTCTGATGAATTATAAAAAAATATGTAAAAATAGAAGCAGTATAGATTCAAACAAATGATATAAAAGAGAAAATAGGTTTCATACAAGAGCTAACAATTAGTCATCTTTATAAAAACCGAATTAATAATATTAATTATGATCATACTTGTGATTTTAATTAACAATACTGCAGAGATTTTTTATAAACAATAAAATATATGTTATCAAATAAATAAATTTAAAAAAAAATAAT